TCTCTCCTCTTTCTCTTCTATCTCTCCTCTCTAAATTCTCACCTTACTATCCCCCCTTCTATCCCCCTGCAACGATAATCCTATCATGCTATCTCTCTTCTATCTTCCCCTCTCTCATCCTTCTGGCGCAATCTCCACCCACGCTTCTCTATCCCTCTTTTCCCACTTCTAATCTCCTCTCTCTCTCTCTCCTGCACGCCGGCTCTCCTTATATCGCCTTATCTCTGATCTCTCACTTCGGGCTCCTGCCACCCTTCTATCTATTCCCTAACCTCTATCTTCTTCCTCTCTACGGCTCGCTCACTCTATCTCCCTCCTCTCCTCTGCAAACTCCTCTCCCTCCTCTTCTTATCCCTCTTCTCTCCCGCCCTCTTCGCTTCCTTTCTATCGTCTAGCATCCTTCACCCCATCCGGCTCGTATCTTCTTCATCTTCCCTCTCCCCCTTCTTCACAATCCCTCCTGGTAGCCCGCCTCTCCCTATCTTCTACCTCAATCTCTGGCCTTCCTCTTCCTTCGCGCTAATCTCATCGTCCGCTTCTCACATTCGCCTCTTCTCTCGCTCATCTCTTATTCCTTCATCCTCTCTCTTCCTTCCTTTATTTCATCTCCCTCAGCTCTATCCCCCTTAATCCCTCCTTCCTCCTCCTCTCTCTCCCTTCCCGTCTCCCCTACTCCTCCTCCCTCCCTCATCGTCTCTCACTAGACTCCCTCGCTCCCCCTAGCATCTCGTCCTCCTAGTCCCTCTCTCACATCCTCTCCTCCCGTTCTCTTCTATCATTCTCCTCAACCCGTCTCTCTCACCCCCATATGATCGCTCTTGCTTCTTCTTTCGTTTCCAAAAATTCCCCCCCGTTACCTTCTTCCGTCCTCTATATCTTCTCATCTCTCTCCGCCCTATCTCATCTCCCCCCTAGCGATCTCTCCTTCTCGCCTCCTCTCCTCCCCTCACCCGACCTTCACCACTTATCCCAATCCTCCTAATCCTCCCCTCCCGCCCGTCCCGCTATCTCTCTTCTCCGCATCCTCCCGCTCTTCTCTCCTCAATCTCCTTATACCTCTCATTCTCCCGCCCCCCCCCTTCGCCAGCTCCTGTCTCCTGACTTCCCTCACCGGAATCGACTTCCTAACTCGCCCCTCGAGCATCTCCTATGCATCTTCCCATCCGCTTCTCCTTCTCTTCTCCTCTCCGATCGTCTATCTTCCGCCCACCTCTTCATCTCCTCTCCCATATAATCTCTCTAATCTAGCTCCATGCGGCCCCTCTCATCGACAATCTGTCACCTCTCCTCCTCTCTCTATTCCTCCTCGCCTCCTCCTCCTGCATTGCTGCGCCTCTCATCAGCTCTCTCTTAAATCCGTTCAGCTCTCCTATCCCCCCCCTCGTCTAGCCAAATCCTATCTCTCAGATCCTCCCTCTCCCCATCGGCGATCTCCTTGTCTCCTCATCGCCTCTGCCCTTCTCTCACTCATTCTCACGCCAGGCCCTGCACTAATCATACCTCACCATCCCTATAGCTCTCCACTCCTTCTTACTATCTCTCCGTCCGCTTCCCTCTTCCGATCCTCCCCGATCTCCTCAGTCTGCATCTCCCAATCCTCTCCTCTCTTTTAATCTCCCTCAGCACGCCTCTCTCTCCTATCTCCTATCCGTCCTACACCATTTTTTTGTCACCCTCTCATACAATCTCATCACTCTTCTCTCATAATATCTCAATCCTGCCTCTCCCCACCCGCACTTCGTCCCCTTCTATCTCCTCATCTCTCCCCTAGCTCCCCTTTATCTAAATCTTCAGCTCACTACCCTATCTCTCCTATCCCTCTACTCATCTTCCTCTTGCTCCTCTTCCTTCTCGAATCCCTCTCCCAACTCATCGCTTCTCCCCGCTCCTTCTTATCCCTCTCTTCTAAATCCCTCCTCTTCCTCATCGCTCCATCCTTCTCGCTCTCTCCACCGCTCTCTCACTCCCTGATTATCTTCTCAGTCCTCGACCGTGATAGCTTCCTAACTCTCCCGCCTTCTGGCTCCATCGTCATCTCCCTCTCTCCTCCCTCTTACCGCGGCTCATTCTCCCCTATCCCATTCCGCCTCCCTTTATCCCCCACAAGATCATGTATCACTCTCCCCACCTTCTCCCTATGCCCCTTCTTCTATCATTCTTCCCCCACCTGCACACACTCAAGTCCGATCACATCGATCGCTTTCCTATCCGCTCTATCTCCCTTTCTCATCCCCTCGATCTCTATCCTCTCCTAATCTCCTCCTCCTCTCTCTATCCCCGTTTCTCATCTTCTACTACTTCTCTCATCATCTCTTATCTTCCTTCTCGCTCCCCTATCTCTCTCTATCACTCGCCACATCTTCATCCCCTGCATGATCCATCTTTTCTCTCTCCTCGTCCGCATCCTCAATCAATCCTAGCTCACCCTCCTCTTCTCCACATCCCCTCCTCCCTCTATCCTCTCCTCCTCTTTCCTCTACTGCTCCTCCGCTCCACTTCTGCCCCTCTCTATCTTCTTTCCATCATGCTCCACTCCTTGCTATCATCCGGCCTCTCTTCTCGCCATGCCTAAGCTTGCTCATTACCCTTTCCTCCGAAATCGTCTCTCTCTCCTCTTCTCTTCTTATCTAAATCACACTCCAATATCCTCCCTTACATCCATAAACTCAACTCTCGTCTATCTTCTTCATCCTTCATCGTCCCTTCTCATCTATCAATCCGCTCTCGCCTCCCCTCTATCCTTTCGTTCCTCATTCTCTCCCGCCTACCCCCCCCCCCCACTAATCACTTCTCTAGTTCCTCTTCCCCACCTTGCTCTCCTATCTTTCTCCTTCTCTCTCTCTCTCCCTCTTCTCCATCTCCTGTGCTCTCCCTCCTGCCTCTACTTCTTCAAGTCCTCATCTCTTCTCTCTTCCATCTCTATCTCTCTCCTCTCCTTCGTTCAATCTCGTCTCCTTACTCTTCCCTCTCAGTCCCTTCATTGACCATCCCTCTCTCTCTAGCTCTTACATCCGTCTCGTACCTTCATCTATCGCTTCCTCGATCTCCCTTCCTCCTTCGTATCTCCCTCCTCATCCTTCTTTGACCCATCCTACCTATCCTTTCCTCCCCTCTCTCTCTATCATCCAAAGCCGCTCTCATCTCCTAAAATCCCCTCTCCTCTTCACTCTATCTCCTTTCTATCTCCCCATCTAATCTCTCTCCTTCTATCTTCGCTTCTCTCTCTCCCTTCCACCATCTCTCCTCCCCTTCCCTTCTCTCCTCTCTTCTATCTCGTCCCAATCTATCTATTCGATCTCTATACCTATCCACTTCTCCTCACTCTTCGCCATCACTCTCTCTTCCCATTTCTCTTCTACCGCTCTAAGCCCTCTTCCCCTATCTCTCCCCCTCCATTTCTCTATCCTGGACTTGTTGAATCAGACCAAACGACTGTCATTGTCCGAAACATGGTGAAGGCCTATCTTCAGCAATCTAAATATTTATATTTATTAGAATGAATCGAGGAAGGTTGAATCTGAGTAAAGAACTGTTCTCCGTAATTTCCTTAAATCCACACATGACATGATGAAGACAAAGTGCTAAATGTTCTGGGTTGGGTTGCGTATTGATCAGTATGCTAACTTCCGAAATGAGCGAAGCAATAATTCACTGGTTCATTGAGGGTGGCAAATTATGTACAAGGGAAATCATAGCAGAAGTTGCGGACGGCGGTAGCTGTAAAGAACATACAAAGTTATTTGTACGCACAAATGTGGCTTGAAGTGGCGGATATGCTTAACTTCCGCAACAGACAGAATATACTTTCGGGATCCTAGCATGAACCCTTCAAAGGATGCTATAGAGGAATCTGAAACATTTTCCTTCCTGCGTGACCGCACTCTGGAAAATGCGAATGGATGGAGGTACTAATAAAACTCGCTTTGATTTTGTACAACACCTCGGGATGTTACTTATGAGTGGAAGGAGTTTGGTGAGTATTTTCAGATACGTCGACCAGCTATCCGAAAAAAGCACCAGATGGCAGTTTCGCCCTATCGGGGCTCATCAATGGTGCGCATCCTTCTGTCCTCTGCGAAGGATCGAAACTATGTCTGCTAGTGGTCGACGTATTTGAATTGTCGTCTGATTGCGACGAACAAAAATACCTCGGGATTTGTTCGCCAACCCAAAGAGATAGTCGCCTTTTAGAACGATCAAATTATCATGCAGCACAGGAGGACGAATACAGTTTTCAGGCAATGATGAAGTCACCGAACGCAGCCTGTCTTTCAAAGGTTTTCCTAATGAAGGTTAGTTACATGATACTATGCGTTGGGGAGCAGCGAACCCAATCCTTCAACACTGTCTATCAGGAGTTTGCACAGGGCATAAGTGCACGGACCCAAATGAAAAGAAAATTCTCAATTAGTCCTTTCTTAGGTACGTTCATCCGCGGTGGCTTTATCTTGTAGTTTCTTAAATGTTTGAACATGAAATAATCTGATTACGCGTTTGCTCTTATAGTCCCCTGGTCCTCTGCAATTATTTGGTTATTATATCCGGTGTGCAAATTCTGTGTGCACAGAAAGCACGATTGAGGACTAGATTTCATTTGTAGTAGTAACAAACTATAGAAGTTAACATACGGTCCCGTTCAGGTTGGTTTCCTATACACTGTTATGCTGCACGATCCGTCAGTTTTTCCGATAATATCAAATTCCAAGAAATTTAGTCATATTCCGGACTTGTGTTCACATGCGAATTGTAGATTATGATGCGCATAAGTAAAGGTTTCCAGCCGTTTCAAAGCCTGCGCCATTTATTTGTAGAGTAAAAAATGTGTCGTCCACAAAACATATATACATCTCGACTTCGCTGTTGTGCTTTCTTAATACGTTATGCTCCAATTTTGCGATAAATACATCTGTCATATAGGGTCCCAGAGGTGATCCCATGGCAACTCCATCAATCTGACGTTACATCTCTTTGTTTAAGGTGAACTACATGGTTAAGGTGCATCTGAGTAACAATTTCTTCACAGGGTTTTCCGAAAGATGTATAGCTACATTCAGTTGCTGCACTAGTTCTCACACATATTCCACTGTTTCCAACAACGGAATATCCGGAAACAACTACTGCGGATCAAATGATTACATTCAAGTTTTATTCAGGTTTACGTACCTTATCTGCGCAATGCCTTTGAATGTGTCTTTCAAGTAGTAAGTGCACACGGATTTGCGTAGCATTTCCAGCTATTCAGACATCCATTGAGATATAAAATGTGTCGCAGAGCTATCCATATCTATTAGGTGACGCATTGAACCGCCCTATTTATGAACTTTAATTAGGTTGTACAATCTAGGTAGATGTCAGCCTGAAGGTTTCAGCCTTCCGAATTCGCACTTGGATTCCAGAAGCATCCTCTACCTAGCGCGGAAGCTTTCTATACCCGCCACCTCAAGCCAGCATTGTGCGTGCGAATAGAGTTTGTAGGTCCTTTAATTCTACCGTGGCCTACATCTTTGCTGCTATTGTCCTGTACATAATCTGCCGCCATCAACGTACCCCCGAGTTATTGATTTTTTCGTTTTGCAGTCAAACATTCTGATCAATAAGCAACCCAACCAGGAACATTTAGCACTTTTTCGTCATTATGTAATGTTTGAGCCTAATGCGACCTAACGCAAATAATTGTCTACTCAGATTCCGCCTTCCTTGATTCACTCTAATGGTTGTCATTTTAACAGTTCTTAGTTGCAAGCTTAACCGTTGCGGTATTTAATATATATGGCCAATCGTACATTTGTTAATAGTACGGTTCTTTATTTCTGGTTTGTTGATTATTTATCCACGAGGGATGGGCGCCCCTCGAACCTTCAAAGCACCGTTTGTTGTTTGCAGTTCGCAACAGCTTTCTCTGATGTCCAAGGACTTTGTCCAGCTTCTTCCGTTTGAAGCGACATACATCATTCGAATTGCCATTGCTGATCAATTGAGCTATGACGATTCGCATCTAAATCGAAAGCAATCGCCTCCTGTGTTGAACCCATTCCTCAAAAGCACACTTTGCGAATGTGAGGATGAAACTTGGCAAGTCAAGCTTTTTTCCTGTTCTTGATGACAATGAGGTTTCATGTACTGGGACAAAGTTAGCGGTAGGTTAGGGTGTTTTTCTAGCGGCGCTCGTGCAACGTTGAAGGTAATGGAGTTAGAGAGCAGTTGGCGGCGAAGATGGATTTGCAGAATAAGAAGCTTGTTTAGTAATTTGAGAACGCAGTAAATATAGCTAGGCTGCATTTAAAACAAAAGGGGCTGGGGATCATGAACCGCCCGTTGTTCTCAGTCGATTGCCAGTAGTTAGGATTGAAAATATGGTATCGGTTGGTTGAGAACTGCAGCAGGTCGCTGCTTGGTGTGACTTCCCGTTGCTCTTCTCCCGACAGTTTTGGGAATTTTATTTTCCACGATTTGACCAACCTAGTATGGGATTGGAGTTGATTTATGGTGCTCCTTCAGATTACTATAGCTTTATGAAACAGTGTGAATATATTATTGAATACTGGCAGCCGACAGAGGACAAATATTGCTTTGTTGGACTCATTATCACAAAGGCCGAACTAAAGAAGCCAGCAGCAAATGAACTATGTTGCCCGCTGCAAGGGCCTATGACAAGCCTAAGGGCATTCTCCTTAATGTATTTGCTCAATGCTGCGTTGTGGCCAGCACCTTATTTGTCGGTTTATTCCCCGGGCTGAAACATCTAGTGCATCTCATAAATGTTTCTCACGCTCATCAATTAAAAACGGATAATTGTCACACTTCTTTTTCCTAAATGGAATTCCTTGATGACTTGGACTCGTTAGCTACCATTTGGCAGTTTGTTGCCGTCTTGCCCAGTGGCTTACAGTCGAGATGAGCAAGAGCGGCGCATCCTCTCGTTTGGTTTGAAACGCTTGGTTTTAGAACATTGCAAGTCTTTCTCGATACCGAAGCACGGGTGTTACGTAGCAGACTTCGTCAGCTGGTGGCTATTAGCACTCAGTTTGTAGAAGGTGACTGTTTCGTAATGGTCTAGTGAAAAAGAACCGACCGCAGGAGCAGCCCAGCAACCAGCAATCTTAGTCTGCAGCGAGTAACATGGAACAGAGTCATACCCGACCTTTCTGTCTTTAGACTTCTCTGGCCGCGTGGAGCTTTTTAGATGGAAGGGGAGTCGTTAAAATGTCTGAGACTATGACATCGAACTGTGATTTGTCGAGACAATAAGAGACGCAGACTTCATTTACGATGAAATACCATTCCCCCTTACT